CTGGAGGGCCCAGGGCCCAGAGGACTGGCACTGGGGTGGGAGGGGCTCCGCGGAGGGCTGGGGGTGGGGCCGGGTCAGGCGAAGGGTCACCAGGCATCCAACGCAGGGAACCAGCTGCTTCAGCTCCGGCCAGGCTCTGCCCCGGGCACTGCGGTTTGTCCCCAGGGGCTGAGGCCCTGTGCTAGGGACAAGCTGTCCTCTGAGGCCTGGGCTGAGGGTACTATGAGGGAGGGTGGGCCTGTGCTCTGGGTGTGAGAGGCTGTCAGATCCCTGGGAGGGGTCTCCTCACCATCCCAGCAGCCTCCTTCCTGTGACTTTATCTGCAAGAGCTTGGGCATGTGTCCACAGGGGGCCAAAGCCAGGGTGACTGAGTCCCTCCTGTCCACCTCCCTGGTCTCTGCTTTGTTTTCCCCTCCCCCTCCCTCTTGTCCTCCTCCCTTTACTCTGCTCCCTCCTGCTGACCCCTTCCCCTCCCAGTCCTTCCTCCTGATTTATCCCTCCCTCTCCCCTATAACTCCTCCCTCAGGAACATTGGGCGGGAGGGGACATAGACAGGAGGCTGAAAGGGGCACTGGGCACTGGGAGGTTCTGGGTTGGCAGGGGGGTTCAGGGGGGAGGGAGAGGACCCAGAGACTGTGAAAGGCGGTGGGGACCTAGAAGAGCCCCCACCTGCCTGGGGTGGGCAGGACCAGCAGGATGACTGGGGAGGGCGTGGCACAGGCAGGACAGGAACCGGAGGCCTGGGGCATCTTGGGGTGATGCATCCCCACCGCTTATCAGCACACTGTCCCCCCCAGACACGCAAACCCCATGCACACATTGTCCCCGCACACACGTGGTCCCCATCACACTGCCTCCCTCACCTTCTCCTTAGGAACGGGACAGGGGTCCTGGTTGGAGAAAGGTGGGAGGGTCAGGGGCGCCATCTCCCCAGTCCTGTGCCCCCTGCTTGCTGGCCCTCTCCTCCCTGCTCCGTGTCCTGGCTTCCCCCTCAGGTGTGGAAGGTTGCATCTGGGGTCACAGCCGGCTAGCCCGCCTCTTTCCCTCACCTCTCACCCTCTCCGATAAGCAGGTCCGGGCGGGGTCGTCAGGTACAGCCCACACCCCAGCTCTGTGTGGTGTCCCCCGGAGCAGGGGGGTGCTGCTCTCCGGTCGTCTTGGGCTGTTGAGAGTGTGAGAGCTGACAGAGCGGACCCTGCGCACTCGGCCCAGGTTCCTCAATGGTCCCTGTGTATGAGCCCCGTCCATCTCGCAGCCAGGACGCTGGCCTGGGCACAACCACTGATCCGCTCAGAGCCCGTTGTAGGGACTTAATTTGTGTGTGTGTTTGCTGTGCACGTCAGCCCTGTGCCGGTTCCATCACCACGGGGCCCTGCGTGTCCCTCGCCCGCCTCCTTGTCCCCCACCTCGGGGACTGCGTGTTTCTGTGACGCATGTGAATGAATGACTGAGTGTGGCTGTCGGGCTGGGCCGTGTGGCCTCGAGCTCTTCACCCACCAGCACGTGTCTCCCATGGGCTTCTCCCCGGAGAGCAGAGCTGGGGGTGGTGGGAGCTGAGCTGCTGCCCGGCCCTTTCTGTTGAGTTTTGGTGACGGTGCTGCAGGCACAGGGGTGTGTGGTGTCAGTGTTACCGTCAGCCTTGACCACAGGAGTAGTCCCCGCAGGCGCTGGGGCTGCGGTGTGCATGTTCCTGTACCTGTGGTATAACCCCTTTATCCGGTAGCTGGCTGCCATCTGCGGGGCCTAATGATAAAGTTCAGGAAGCAAGGGGCCCCCCACCCGAGGCTCTCTGCAGGGTGGCGCCCCCTCCTTCTTTCAGGAGGGTCCTGGGGGCTGGAGAAGTGCCCGCGGGACTCCCAGCCTCCTGCTCTGGGGACAGGCGCTTTAGAGTTTCCAAGGCGCCAGCCCCAAGGTCACACACACACACACACACACACACACACACACACACACACACGGCGGCAGCAGGCGGAGGGGAACATGAGCCAGCACAGATGGAAAGTGGGGGAGAGGGGATCCCCCGAGCTCTCCGGAGGCAGTTTCCATTCACAGAGAAACACAGGAAGCAGGAGGATCATCCCGAAACTGGTTCTGAAGAAGCTGGTGGGGTGATGTCAGTGACCCTGTCCCCAAGCTGTTCCCATCGAGTGGGGTGGGACCTCCACTGGCCGGCAGAGTCACAGGTACTTCTGAGGTCGGAACAGGAAATGGTTAATAATGTTTGCAAATAAAAACTTTCTGTTCTATCCTGTTTTTGAAGCATTTCCCAGAAGTTAAGAGAGGTTGCCTAATTTGTCGGCAAAATTCAAGAACCAACTTGTAAGTGTTAGAAATTCTTTATCACTGCTTATTAAGTAACAGCTTAATACCGCAGAACATTTCAAGTCATCCTCTGACAACTCATTCTTCCCTCCCCCCCCAAATTCTTGATAGTGAACTTTTCAAATAAAGACATGTTCGCGTCTCTCCTCTGTATAAAACTTTATGAAGCAAAGGCGTTTGCTGTGAAATGCTGCCCACGGCCAGGGGAACATTGTCTGCCTGGCTCCCTTCACCGTCCGGGTCCCGAAGGACTCCTGTTCATAAACTGTCTCTTCACAAAGCCACTCGGCCACTCACTGGGTTCATCGTTCTGAGGGCCAAAAACTTCCTCACCGAGTCTCAGGCCAGCCTCTTGCCACAGCTGCTGCCAACCGGCCCTCTGCCCTTCGTCTTCCTGTGTGTTTGCAGGACGGGCCTACATCGTGTTAAGTGGAAAACCAGGTTCTCCAGGAAACAGGAAATTACTGATGCCCAGGGACTAGACACTTTTTGCTCACCTTGGCTTTTGGAATTGCACTTTTGGAGTTTCTGTAAACACTCAGAAATGTAGAGTTTTTTATACCAAGTTTCTATTAGCTTCATTCTTTGTTTTGTTTTGTTTTTAATTTTTATTGATTTCAGAGAGTAAGGGAGAGGGGAGAGAGATAGAAACATCAATGACAGGAGAGAATCATTGATCAGCTGCCTCTTGCACGGCCCCCCCCTCCCCACTGGGGATCGAGCCCGCAACTTGGCTGCCTCCTGCACGCCCCCCGCCCCCCCACTGGGGATCGAGCCGGCAACTCAGGCACCTGCCCTTGACCGAAATCAAACCTGGGACCCTTCAGTTCACAGGCTGACGCTCTATCCACTGAGCCAAACCAGCCAGGGCATATCAGCTTCATTCTTAATTTCAGTTTTTGAAGAAGACATTGGCCTTGAAGTAATAGATGGCTTCATCCACAATATCTGTCTCTTTTGTCTTTCTGGGGGCAGGTCCTTTGAACTGACTTCTGATGGCGACAGTGCGGTGTTTCCAATGAGTTTGGGGTTGGGGTCCATGAGAGAACAGTGGTAAGCCAGCATCTTGGTGGCCCCTGAGTTTCAACCCAGATGAACAAGAACCAAATTTAATTTTAATTTTTAAAAATCCTCACCTGAGGATATGCTTACTGAGTTTTTCTTTTGAGAGAGAGAGAGAGAGAGAGAAACATTGATGTGAGAGAGAACATCAATTGGTTGCATTCTGTTTGTGTCCCAACCGGGGATCCAACTGGCAATCCTTAAGTACATGGGATGATGCCCCAACCAACTGAGCTGCACCAGCCAAGGCAAGAACCAAATTTTTAAAAAATTAAACAAAATGCTTTCACCATCTACTATGCACAAGAATAAAGATAGCCACTTGCCTGTTTGTTGAGGTGGAGGGGGTCACAAGAGATTCTCATCCCCTTCATTTTCTAAACCTTCTAGAACGCTGTGAGTAGTTTAAATGTGAATTCACAGTTTAAATCTCCAAATGTGTGTGTTTGTGAGTATATGTGTATATGTATTTGTGTGCAGGCGTGTAGGTGCTGCGTGTGTGTATTAATGTGTAAGTCTGTGCATGTGAGTACAGAAATCCAGGACTGTAGGGTATCAGTTAACATTGCTCTGATTTGGTTGGGTAATGCCTCCCAAACCCTCCGAAATCAGTGCTTAAAAAACTGGAGCTAGACGTTTATTCCTCTCTTTTTTATACCAAGGTTCTCTCTTGTACATTAAGTCAGAGGTAGGCAACCTGGAGAAAGTTCGGTGACTCCGACTGTCATCAAGGATCCAGGGCCTTAGCTTTCTGCTTCCTCAGCACATGGCCTCCATCCACAGGGTGAACTCATGGTCTAAGGTGGCTGCTGGGCGCCGGCCATCACCTCCGCACCCACACCACTGCACAGAAGACGGGGGACGTGGGTGCTGGGGACGAGGCCTGCTGGCCGCTGAGCTTGCAGTGGGTGTTGGGAACCAAAGTCAGTCTCCCTGGTCAAACCCTTTATCTCCCCAACACTGAGGAGGGTTTCATGGCTTTGGTCCCACCTGACTACCTCTCCACAGCCACAGAAGAAACCTGCTCCCTGGCGTGCTGGCTGGCGAGCTCCACGTCTCTGGCCCGCTGCCCAGGGGAAAGGCTGCCCTGGCAGCTCCTCCAGCACCGAGGGGCCTTTAATAGGAGTGTGTCAGCCCTTCCTCCACGTGGCCCTTGCCCTCAGCCGTGGGCCCCCAAAGGTGGCCTTCCTTTGCCTCTCATTTGCATCTTCCAGCCCCTCCCCGCTCTGCCTGACCTCAACTCACTTTTCCTCGTTGTACCTGACGCACCACCACGCTCCTGAAGCTCACACCGAAAACCGAAAAGGCGGGCAAGTCCAGACACACATGCACAGAAAGCACAGAGGGCGTGCTTGGGGACAACAGCAGTGGGGGGGGGCCCGAGGCGGTCCAAGCGGAAGGCGGCTGGCTTCTCCTAGGTGCTCACCAACACTTTATACAAGATCCTGAAGCTGTGCATTTATGCTTTAGGCATTTTTACATAAATGATGCACATTTCCAGCCAATAAAAAGCTTGAAAAAATTGGCAATGATACATATTCAAGAAAGTTCTTGGCAGCTTTGTCTGTAATGACAAAGAGCCGCCGGCCGGAGTAGAGGCCGGGGCAGGGCAGGTTATGGCAGAGCCGGGCTGTGAGCATGGGCCACCGTCCAGGGTGCGTGGAACACCAGGCACAGCATGATCTGTTTAGTATGTTTTCCCATCTGTGAGGAATACATACAAATAGTTACATGTACATATGCATGGGAGCACGCATGGACGTCAGCACAGATGAGCTCTGGCGATGGGGGATGGGCGATTTCATCGCATTGGGTTGTTTTTCCTTTTTGTTTCTATTTTTTTCTAAAAATGAAAATGTATTGCTTGCTTGCGTCATGAAAAATATTCAAAAGGAGAAGAAAAAGGCCTGTCTCTTGTGTGTCTGAGCTGAGCTGGTTGCCATGGAGACTGGACGGTTGTCAAGGCAGCTATTGGATGGGCAGGGGGGGCTGCGGGTGCTTCCTGGGAGCCGAGCTGGCACAGCCCGCAGTCTGCACTGCGGGGCCGGCGCCAGCATGGACGGAATGGACGTGTGGGTCAGCACCTTAGCCCAGCTGATGGCCAAGAGGAAGCCAGAGGACACCTGGGAGCTGGTCCTTGAGGAGAACCTGTCCTCCGGGCATCTGGACAGTGGCAGTTACGAGTACCGGCTGAGGGGGCTTTCCAGGTTTGGTGGAGGGTAGGGGTCTGCTGCCGGCTCCCGGGAGGGGAGGGGGCCGAAGGCTGCTGGGCCACGGGCCCTAGGCTGGCCCTGAGTCCTGAGCCAGGCTGGGTGTGACCTGGCTTCTGCGGGGTGGGCACAGAGGCCTATGTCTGGCCTGGTCCAGTCCCCCAATAGGTGGGTGGGCTGGGTGCTCATTCTCCCTTCTGGAAAGTGGGGGACAATGCCTGCCCAGTCTGTTTCAGTGGCAATCTCAGACCCTGCCTGGCAGGAGGGGACCCCTGGAGCCCAGTGGGTGCCCTGTCCAGATGCGGGCCAGTGGGATGACGCAGCCGCCCAGGCAAGGAGGGCTTTGTCTGCTTCCCGAGGCCTCTCCTGGTTTCCATGGCAGCACTGACAGGAGCAGGGGATGGGCAGGGCCATGGTCACCGCCCAGCTCCGCAATGATCCAGGCTGGAGGGACCAGGAAGCTGAGGAGTGCACGGAAACAGCGCAGCCCAAGACAAGGAGCACGTGTGCCCGGCCTGGGCTGTGGGCGGGTGGGAGCCCTGGTGGTCATGGGTCACTACGCGAACCTCCATCTTCATTGTCATGGTGACAGCTATGTCAGTACAGTGGACGACCCAGACCTGCAGGATCCCACCCAGCCAGGCACCCTGAGGTGGGCTGGGGGGGGGGCGCCGTAGGGACCCTCAGGCCCAGCGGGTGGTGGAATGCTGGTTTTCTCAGGTCTAAGAAACACCTTTAAACACGTGCTACTCCCACAGCCTAAGTGAAGAACTGCTTTAAGGAGGCAGGTGGTGGGGCGGCCACACATATAGACCTGCGCTCTGCAACAGGGTCACGGCCACCTGCAGCCTGTGAAGTGCTCATTAACTAATTTACGTAAAGGACGCTCAGCTCCTCAGCACACGCTCCACGTGCGGGCGTCCCTGGCCACTGTGACGCAGATGCAGAGCAATGCCCCTGTCACGGAAAGTTCCACCGATGCCCGGAGGCAAACATGCAGGGAGACCTCACACGAGAGCAGGTTCCCACACCTGCGTGCATGTGCCTCACCGGGGTCACCTGTCTGGGACCCGAGGGCCCGCCTGCCTGGCCCCGGGGACACACGGGCCTGTGGCACCAGCCCCTTCACCAGCCAGGGAGCCAAGCAGCTGCTTCTCCTCTTCCATGCCGGGGGTGGGGCCGGGTCCCCTACTCACATGCTCAAAGCCAGTGTCTCACGGGTGCAGGGTGCACCCTGCCATCCAGAGCCTCTGCTTCCCCCTCTCCCCACACTTCTCTGCCTCCGGCACTGTCCCCACCACCCACACAGCCCCCACCTTTATTTCCCCCTTACCTTCCTTCCCAGGGTGGGCTCCTCCCTCCACGGACCCACTGCCCAGACACCGCAGACGCCTTCTTTCCTGCCCTCACCAGGATCCACAGGGCTGTCTTTAGCTTTTGGTAACATTTCTTCAGGGTGATGAACAGTGACAGAAAAGCAGCAGGGTGACCCCTCATAGGTCAGGCCAGGCTTGGCCACCCAGCGGTGCCAATCTGACGGAAAGGTGTTTGGTGCCAATCTGATGAAAGGTGTTCGCTTTTCAGACTGTGGGTTGCAGGCAGGAGCCAGGCACCTGCATCCTGTCCCCGTACAGACAGGGGCTCAGGTTCGTGGAGCTCACGCTGGGACCCTCTCTGGGCCGACAGGGCTGAAGGCTGTGGGGCGCAGGGGCAGGTCCCCATCCCCTCCACTCACTTCTTCCTCCCCTCCCCCCCAGGCTCCAGTGCAACCGCTGCCAGTGGGGCTGGTCCTCTGCCCACGTGCACATCCTATTCCATGTGCGATGGGACAAGGACCGCCACCTGGGGCTGGTGAAGATGCGTATCTGGGCCCAGGCGTGCCAGCTGTGCCCGCCGGACGCCCGGGGAGACTGCCAGGTGAGCCTGCTGAACGTGCGGCTCTTCCTCAACAAGCTGGTCCTGTTCGTCCTGCAGCAGTGCTACCAGGAGAGCATCAGTTCCGACGAGTGCCCCGAGGTCTGCTTTGGGGACCACTGTGAAGCCTGCGACCTGGGTGTCTGCTTCTTCCAGAAGCCCCCAGACCCCGCCTGGGGGCCCGAGACCAGGAGCCCCAGCACCGTCCAGGCCATGCCAGCCCTGGGCAGCGGCCCTGTGGCCAATTGCGCCTGGGGCTTCGTCCTCCCCTCTGTGTCCGACCCCCTCTCTGAGAGCAGCCACTTCTTTAGCGAGGACATGGACATCATCACCGTGCCCTTCACCCTGGTGAGCGTGGGCAGGGACAAGGGCTCTGTTGGCCCTGGAGAGGGCACCCCCAGCGAGGCTGGTCTCCAGGGGCTGATGATCATCGACAGGGGCTCCGCCGACCAGCCTGCCAGTCTCAGGGCCTTGCCCACCAGCATGAGCATCCTGGTCAACATCAAGGCCCCCATCCTCCACGGCAGAGACCACCTGCTCAGGAGCATCAAGTCCTTCCAAGTCAAAGGCTTCATCTTCAAGGGCTTTGGCTCCCTTTTGGGCCAAGACAAGGGCCCAGGCACCGATCCCAGCTGCAACAGTGGACCCACTGGAGATGCCACCCTGCCCGTGTCCTATGTCTTGGGCCTCACAGAGAAGGGCGAGGGCTCCATCACCTTTCCCTTGTCCTTGGCCAACATCATCCAGGGCCCGGACTCCCTCCCTGACCTCAACGGCTCCCTGACCTTCCCTTTCATCATCACCGACCAGTGCAAGGGTGGGGCAGAGTGTGGCCACGACCCTGCCCTCAGCCCCGCCTCCTCGGGGAGCAGGGGTTCCCTCATCATCCCCTTCTCAGCCTTTAGTCCCATAAAGCTCGGGGGCCTGCAGGGCAGCAGCTACCACAGGAGCGAGCACTGCGGCAGGCACAGGCGCCGCCGGGCCCGGAGGCCTCGGGCCCGCAGGGAGGAGGACTTCTTGGAGGAGGAGGACGGCTGGTGCTGGCCGAGTTTCGATCCCTACGAAGAGGTCTGGGTCTGGATGTGCATGGTCTTCTTCGTCCTCTGGACACTGTACCTGTGCACTTCTTGACGGCTCCCAGACGCGTGTCTGAGCGTGCCACCTCCCTCCCGGGTCCCCCACTGCGTCTCTCCCTCCGCAGGGCTGCCCAGACAAAGCCAAGTGCTGCTGGCCCCCCGGCCCCCACCGCTCCCCACCAGCCCCGCCCCCATTCTGCCAGCCCCCCTGAGCTGAGGCCTCCCAGTGCGCACAGCTGCTCCCTGGACCTCTTGCTTCTGTGTTCTCTCCCTTGACGTGACTCAAGCAGTGGTCCCGTGATGTCCGCGTGTGATGTCCACGTGTGATCATTCCCCGGTGTGACCCCCAGCTGCCCCTGTGTGTTCACTTGTGTGTGTTACACTCCGTTCAAATAAAAGTCAACAAGAGAAGACCATACAGCACACTTGGGCCGATGACAGCCAGCGCCGAAGAGGTGGTGGTGAAGTGGGAGAGCGGTGGCCAGGGGCCTCTGGCGCTTCCCCAGGGCGTGATGGGACGGCCTCAGGCACAGAGCTCATGTCGGCTCGCCTTTGCTGTGCACGCACGGCCCAATGGCCACGCTCCTGCCCCGGGGCCAGGTCGAACCCCGTGGGGGACCCGTGGCAGGTCGGAGCCCCCGTCCGCCCTACAGTAATTGCACCCCCCTGGGTAGGAACCCTGCCCTGCCAGGACGCCCTCGAAGGGTTAACACCTGGAACAGCTTGTGGGGGGATCACCAGCCTGAGGACTC